AGAGACAGAGACAGAGAGAGACAGAGAGAGGGACAGAGAGGGAGAGAGAGAGGAAGAAGAAGAAGAGGAGGAAGAGGAGGAGGGGAGGAGAGAGGTAGGGCAAGGTATAGTCTCCAAGGAGATGCTTTTGTGACCTGCCCCCTTCATTGAGGTCCCATCCCCTAAATTGTCATCCCCTCTCGAGAGTATCAAAAATTACGACTCCATTAATTGATTACTGCTAAATTAGAGCCCTCAAAATCCAGTCACCTTCCAAACATTTCTGAACATTGCAGCATGGAGGGCCTAGCCTTTGATATATGACCATCTGGGGGATGCTGTAGATCCAAGCTATGCCACTAATCCAATTGGACCAGGGTCCCACCCTTCTGACCACACTTAACCTTATGGTCTCTTTCAAGGCCCTCATTCCATCTGTAGTTACCTTAGGGGCTACAGATTCAACATAGAAATTTCAAGGGAATACAAATACCCCGTAACACACTAGATGGTAAAATTGTCTACTTGTGATTTCCATATTTATTATGTGTTATGCAGTAAATCTCCTAGGTGTTCTTATAAAATGTTATACAAATAAAATTCATGCTTCTAAAAACTATAACTAGTATTGTAAGTATTTCTAGAAGCAATGATAACCCAGTATCTCTACCCATTGAAAAAAAATGTACTTAGAACAGGGTTTATAGGGTCTATAAGGTCTTATTACATAGATTGGACTCACAGTGAGTCTCCTGTTTTCAGCCTCCCAGGTGCAGGGCCTACAGGTGCGCACCACCATGCCCAGTCTCAGTCACCGTCTCAGCATGCCCCTGGGGCGGGCCAGCATGGCATTCCAGAGATCAACCCTAGCCTCTGTGCTCTGCTGAGCTATCTGGCCGGCCCCCTCTACCCACTTTTAAAAACGACTCACATGCAATTTCCCTCTATTCACAGGATTCTCTGATGAGCACCAGGTTGGCAGAAAAACCAAGGCTACAGAAACCCAGGGGTCATGGCTAGTGAGTATCAGAGTCCAAGGCTACACCCACCTGCCTCAGCTTCTTTCTTCTCTTGTGACAAAAAGATGTCCTCTTCAAGGTAGGTCTCAGTTGTCTTCTTGTTATTATACATTCAGTAACGAAGCCAAGATCTCACACAATAAAACCCCCTTGGCTTCTGTATTTGTGGTGCTGGGGAAAGAACTCGATGTCCTTAGGGGAAGATGGTTGTAGGAGAGGCTCTGTTTGGCTGCCGCAGCCTCCTCACGGCCCCAGTGACCCAGATGTCAAAGTCACTCGAGATGTGCTAGTCAGTTCCGCTGCCTGGCCTCCCAGAGTCCAGGAGGGCCTCATGCGTGTCTCCATTCCTGGCTTGTTAGAGGGCACTGTGGCCTCAAGCGCCATCAGTCACTCTTGGATGCCTCCTCTCCTGAGGCTGGGTACACCCGGCACGCCTCTGTCATGCATCCCGCTGAGGTGGCAGGAAAGCTTCACATCTTGGCCGCCCCTCTGCATCCTGCAGGGCTGCTCGGAGCTGGCTGTGGCTGTGTCCAGCTCCCAGGCCTTCTGGAGCTGATTCTGGGAGTTCTTGCATCAGAACCAGTCATTCTCCTGGGAGGACCAGTTCTCCACCACACACGCAGCTCTCACCTGCTGCCATCGGGCAGATGAAGCCTGCCTGTGTCTCACACTGGCCTGGCCTGGCCACTCTCTCTCTCACGCTGAGCAGGACAGCATGGACCTCAGGCTGCCCTGGGAGGCCTCCATGGTTCAGAGCACTGGATGGGCACTCATGTGTGGGTTGAGAGTAAGCGATCTTTCCACAGACAGGTTTTTATATTATTTTATTTATTTATTTTTATTAATTTTATTGAGAAACAAATAGCAATGAGACAGTTTCAAAACTGATTAGTGGGACAGTTTCAATAACTAATACATTGCATATTGTTGTCTTTGTAGTGGTATTCATAGTACAAGATGCAGACATGATATCCTATCCAAACACTTTAGTACAAATCTTTCTTCTCATTGAATTAAGCGAAAGTAGCTGTATATCTATCCTATTTTGTATACACAGACATAAAATGGTCCTTCCTTTATAGCCACTTTTATTGTTTAGTTTTGTCAGAGATGGGTATTCCATTGCCATTTAAATATTGTAGGTGCATGAATTCAGCAAAATAACCCAATATAATCCAGTAGTCCATAATAGTAGTGGGTTATCTGTAGGACTGGTAATGTCAGAAGTTGTCGACTTGAGCCTTTTATAGCTCAGCATATTAATATGGCTTTACTTTTTATACCTTATTTTTATACTTTTCTGCTGGATGGTTAAGATCAAGATAAAGCCAGACCTATATAACAAGAAATGTAATTTTTGTATGTGACAAGGTCAGTCAAATCCCCTCAGGATTTACCCTGAAGCCCTGTACCGCAGTTTGCAGATCCTTTGTCAGTGTCAACCATGTGGATGAGTCACGGCCATTGCTTGGCCAATGTGCTCTCTATGAAAGCCTGAGAGAATGTTTTCTCTCCATGTGACTCTCCTTAGGCACACTCTACATCATCGATCACTTTCTTCTGTGGCCCTATAACCTCCTTGTCATAGGACTGTCCTGCTACAATATTTTATATGGTCAGGTTTCTAAATTTCTGTGTAAAAATATATAATTGTTTATTTCTATTTTTTAAAATGTTAATTTTTTTTCTTCACATTCTGTAGGGATTTAAAGTTTAACATATCAATACTTGTTGGAAAATACCTGTTCCATGTTATGTCTAAGATGTTCGATATTCAGACAGATAGTGAGGTTAAGCTCTACTGCCTATGTTGTAGGGTAATAATATCATTAAGCTTCTCTTCTGGAGGGTTAACAACTTAAGTTTGCTGACCAAAAATTAGAGAAAAGAAGGGCTGCAAGGACAGCCAACATTTTGGCCCTAACCTTTCAAGGTCAGTGAGGAGCTTGCTCTCTGTGAAGCCTGAAAGAATGTTTTCTCTCTGTGTGGCTCTCCTCAGGCACATTCTACATCATTGATCTAGAATTACATAGGAGAACCTGTACTATAACATCCTGTAGCTCAGTTGTGCAGACAGGTTTTAACAGGGGCCCTCTACGGGTGGGACAGAGTTGACTTGGGTTCCACCTCCAGCACCCTTCTGTCACTAGCAGTCAGGGGTTAGTCCCTGTTGCCATGGTAGCTCCTTCCAGAAGGAGGTCACTGCAGGTGTGCTTGCTGCGAGAGGGGGCGGAAGTCAACCCTCCATTCAGAGGTGACTCGGGGCAGAGATGTGCTCCTGTCCCCTGTATTTCTATCAGTGAGGACTTTATGAAGGTAGAGCAGCACAGGCTGTAACATAACCCACAATCTCACGCTTTAATGTTAACTGAATTTCAGAGCAGTAAAATATGCCTAAGAATCACAACGGAACAAAGCCCTGGTCTGTTTTAAAATTATATATGTGCTTTATCCCTTTAGACAGACTAATCTACCTTAAAATATGGGTGGATTCCCATCTAAGACCTTAATTGATCTTCTTAGGACAAACATTCTTTTTAAAATATTTTATTTATTTGGTACAGGGTCTTGCTATACAGCTTGGACTTGTGGTGGTCCTCCTGTCTCAGCCTCCCTAGCGCTGGGATACAGGCATGCACCACCATGCCTGGTTTCAGTGGCTGGCACTGAGGCCCTGCATACGGTACCTGGGATTGAACCCTGGTCCTTGTGCTTGCCAGGCAGGTGCTTAGACCACCGAGCTATCTCCTCAGCTCCAGGGCCAGAATTCTTATACCCAACTGTAAGTCCTGCCTCTGGCTTCTCTTCTGTGCTTTGTAAATCTGCACATCTTTTTGAGGACCATGGTGAACCTTCCTCACAGTGAATTACCTCTCCATTGTCACTAAGAAGTTGTTATCCCATTTATAGCAAATTTAGCAAGCTGAAAGCCTCGCAGAGTGGTCACTACAGAGATAGTCCAGTGTCTCCATAAGATCTGTGAGTGTTTCTTCTAAATATATGATATTAGCTCCAAGTATGAGGCCAAATTCTCCATGTGGAAAACTCCAAATTTTGCTCCCAAGTCAGCTCCTTAACCGTATGGTTCGGGCAGGGGGAGATAAGTTGGCTTGAACATTTGATTGAAGAAACTTGAGTGCTACTTTTCAATCTGTGACAGTCACACGAATACCTAGCAGGGCAGCCATCATGCCTACCAGCCTCGTGCCAGCCCCCAGCTCCATGGCAGAGCGGCCCTTGAGCTCCACAGGGCTCATCTCCAGGTTTGTGGACAGAATGACAGCTGTGCCCCAAACCCCTGCTGCCATCCCCAGCTGCCTCCAGTCCTGGCAGACCCAGATGGTGTGGTTTGCAAAGGAGAAGGTGGCGAAGGGCTTGTGGAGCTTCAGGAACCTGCTCTTGGGCCTTGTCCTAGGGCAAGACCTGCCCAGAACTGGGGAGAAACCCCTGGCTTCCGGGCGGAGGCATTGCCTGCTGTTTCTAGTGGAGAACAGAATGGGATGGGGGCTCAGTCTCCATAGCTCCTTCTCCAGTGGACCCTCCCTGACCCCAATTTATACTCTGTTGCCTGGGCCACAAAGTGAGCTCAAAGTCAACCTGAATTGCACAGCGAGACCCTGTCTCAAAAAGACAAACAAAACAAAACAAAACAAACAAACAAACAAAAAAAAAAGAGGAAGAAAAAAGAAAAAATAGAGTGAAGTGATGTTAGACAAACATCTTTCTGTTATCTTCCCATGAAATTTTTCTTTCACATACAGACAGGTTAAATCAATGATTCCCTTATTTGTGGCTCTAGAAATTCGCCTGGCATGGTGGTGCACAGTCCAGCACTCTGGGAGGCTGAGGCAGGAGTCTTGCTAGACTGAGCCAGCCTGGAACAGTGAGACTTAGTGAGACTCTGTCTCATAATAAAAAAAAATTAAAAAAAAATTAAAAGGGCCAGTTAGATAGCTCAGAGGACTAAAGCACCTGCTTAGGCAGACACAGGGGTCACGGATTTGATCCGTGGCATGCTGTGCTGGCCTGTCTCTGGGGGCGCTCTGAGCCGGTGATTGAGACTGGACGTGGTGGCGCACGCCTATAATCCCAGTGCTTGGGAGGCTGAAAACAAGAGAATGACCATGAATTCGATCTACGTAGTGAGACCCTGTAGACCCTGCACAAAAAACAAAAAACAGAAAACAAAAAAAAAAAAAAACAAAACAGGCTGGGGATGTAGCTCAGCACACACACACACACACACACACACACACACACACACACACGATCTATCTATCTATGCATGTATATATGTATAGGCTTAAGCAGTGTTGGAAAATCTCTTTTCCATTTTATCTTCACAAGAATATTTTCTGCCTACAAAAAGAGTGTAAAGTCGGTAGTTCTCTTATTCATATTTATAGAAGTCAAGAGACTTCTCGTAGTTCTATTTTGAGAAGCGAGCCTCAAGACGCCAAGACGCTGGAGTGCTGCCCTCTCCCGTCAGCTGTGGGCTGCCTCACTGGATATGATCCTTGACAGGGAAGTTGGCCGCGTTGGATGGTTTAGTCAATATTATTTCAAAAATTAATGCAAAATTGTTTCTTCGAGCTCCACTGCACGAGGCACAAGGCTCCCATCGAAGCACGGAGAGGGAGGGGCCCCCACTGGGCAGTGGATGCAGCACAGGTCGAAGCTGTCACTCCTTGTCCCCTCTCCTGAGTGATGTTCACCCTCCGCAGCTGCTTGGTAGATTAATGCTGTTTGTTCTGTTATCAAACCTATTTTATCAAAAGTAAATCTTCCTCAGTTACCTAATAGCCTTACATTTTTTCCCAAGTGACATAAAGCCATTTACGTTTTTGTGAGTTTGGCAAGGAAGTTCCTCTTTCTCCTTCGCTCAAAAAATGTGAAATTTCCCAGTCTTGCCTTGCTGAAATTTATTCCAGTTGTCTCCTTACTTTAGCAGTGGTTTTCTAGAAATATGCAAACCACCTGAGTGCAGGTTATTGAGTGAGGTGGTCTTCTAAGCAATTAAGGAGCTGCATGGGACCTTCCTACTGGGACAGGGACAGGCATTGGCTAAATCTGCTAATGTCTTGTTTCCATGAACAGTTCAAATCCTTGACTCTAAGCTTACTGGATTCTACTTCTAGCTTATATTTTCTTTTCTTCTAAGAACTATCTTTAAACAAAGCAGATAAAACAACCCATGGTACAACAGCAGTGTTAAACATTTAGAGTATAGAATGAATTCCATCCTAGCGACCTGGGTTCATGATCAAAATGGCCTGCAGGCAGCCCAGGCAGTGGAGTTGGGAGGAGCAAGGGCCGGTCCTCTACAGACTCACCTTGCTCCTTGGAGAGTCTGTCACACTCATGTGGGATGTCCAGGGAAGAGCGGGGTCTTCCGTGCTGGGAGAACAGTGGGGAGACCTCATGTACACAGGTTTAGAGCTTGCTGGGAAGAGAGACTTGTCAGCCGGGATGCTTGATCGAGAAGTGGCCTTGCTGGTGGTGTTGGAGAGGGACCAGCCAGGAAGGAGGATGTTAAAGGCATGGACTCACACAAGGATAAGTGACTAGAGATCAACCCAAGGGAGAGAGCCCGGGGGTGGGGTAGGGTGGGGTGGGTTGGGGGAGGAGGGTCTCAGGAGGTGTGGGCAGGCCCATGAGAGACTAGGACACAAGTAGGGGCAGGGATGACTCGGAAGAATGGGTAGGAGGATTGAGGGGTGGAGGAAAAGTTTCCCAAATGTTGACAGGAGGAGAGGGACAGGCTAGGTGCATGGGATCATGGGAGTTTTGAGAGAAGGGGACCCTAGCAGTGGATTCTCGTAGTGAGCGATGAGCAGAGAAAAGATGCCTTGTAGACTGCTGGGGAGGCAGCCCTGCTGGATGCGTGGGCGAGTGGGGACTCAGAGGCAGCTGGAGCTGAGAGGTTGGGTCACATCTGAGGGCATGTGTGGCGGGGGATGGACTATGTAAGGGGGAGAACACTGAGCTGAGCGATGACATGTAGCCCGGACCACACAATCCTCCAGGGAGGAGAGAAGGAAGCGTCCCTGGGGACGATGAAGGACCAGGCCACATTGGGGAACAGGTGGGGTGCACAGAGATGGGAGTGTCTCAGAAGGTGCTTTGCTGAGAGGTGTGGGAAGCCTGGCACTTGGGGCCAGGAAGAGAAAGCGTCCCAGCGAGGACTGTGGGGCAGGCAGAGACCACACTTCTCTGTCAGGAGGGGGCAGGAGAGGTGGAGTGTCATGGAGGATGCTTATGCCAAGGAGAATGGACAGACTGGTGACAATAAATGGCCTAGGGCAGCAAGAGCAAAGGTGTGGGGGCAAAGGTGTTCGTATAGAGAGGTGAACAGAGCCGTGTTATGTGACTGAATCAGTCACTTTCCCATCCCCAGGACAAAATCTTGACAGCCACAACTCACAGGAAAAGTGTAGTTTGACTCACGGTTTCAGGGGGCTCAGTCCACGACTGGCTCCAAGGCAGACGCATCAGGGCGGGAGGGCTGAGGGCGAGCTGCTGCCACCCTGGCAGCCAGCGAGCAGAGACGCAAGGCGGAGCCACGAGCGAGAACCCGTCCTTCTGAACTGCACCCCCACGATTCCACCTCCAAACCCATGACACTGCTGGGGGACATTTGATACCTAAACAGTAACAGATATCTCTTTGAGTCCCTGGATCTGTGAACATATCAGGAGTGGGTTGCTGGATCATGTTATTCTATTTTTAATTTTTTAAAAAACAAAACTGCCATAGTGCTTTTCACCATGGCGATGCCATTTTATGTTCCCGCCAACAGTCCCCAAGTGTTACAGTTGCTCCATGTCCTTGCCAACACGTGTTTTCTGTTAGGTAGTAGTCATCTTTTTGAGTGCAGCGTGGTGTCTCTTCGTGGTTCTGAGTTGCGTTTTCCCAATGCCTAACAGTGTGAAAGGTCTTCTCCAGCGCTTCCTAGGAGGAGCATGAAATATTTTTGAGGGCACCTTTTGGGGAGGTTATTTTTTGGGATAGATGACACTGACAATGACAAGGCCTAAAGAAAGAGAGACAAATTCACAATGTCAGGGAGGAGGACAAGGGCAGGGTCTGTAGACATTTTAAGGGCAACGAAGGAAAACTCCCCGTAACTACATACAAATTTACCATAGAATTGATGGCTTTCCCCCAAAGCACAAGCTCCTCCAGGTCCCAGGGTAGGAAGCAGATCTCTGGAGTAACCTACCACTATCCCTGTTAGGAAAACTGCACTTTTTATTTTCTTTGAATTGAACGGAGGACCTCACGCCCGCCAGGCGGCTACTGTACCACTGAGCTAAATCTCAGGCCCTGAGCTTGTAATTAAAAATAAAACTCCCCAAGTGGAAATCTCCAGGCCCACGTGGTTACACTAGAGAATTCTATCAAATATTTAAGGAATTAACACCGGTTTCGCGTAATCTCTTCCAGAAATGAGGAGCGTGGAACCCTGTATTGCAAGCCTGACATGCACTGTGTGAGAAGAGGAAATCAGAGGTCAGTTTCTTCTGTTATTTTAAATCCATACATTTTTAATGAAATTTTAGCAAATAGAATTCTGCAAATGTATAAGAGGATCATACACCCTGACTGAGTGAGGATTATTCTGGGATTCAAGCTGATTCAGTGTTTGAAAATTAATCCATATAATCCACCATATTAGCAAGCTAAAGAAGAACAATTCAGATGATAGTATCAATTGATGCATGAAATGTGTTTGACCAGATTTAATACCTTCTAATGATAAAATCCCACAGGCAACCAGGAACAGAGATCTCCCTCAACTTGGTAAATAGCATCTACTAGAAACAAAACACAAACACACATGCAGTTAATGTCACACTGAAGCAGGGTTTTCCGCTGTGATTGGGAGCAACTTAACCGTTTTAGCCACTTCAATAAAGGAGAGAAGAAAACTAAAGGTCCATAGATGAGAAGTGTAGACATGATGCTTTTCTTATTGGCTGATGCTGTGATTATCTCTATTGGGAAGCGCCCCAGTCTACAGAAATATCTCTTGGAATAAATAAATGAGTTCCACAAGGTCATAGGACAAGTGATCAAAGTACAAAAGTAAACCACATTTTTACATACTACCAGTGAATATAGAAAGATCAAATTAAAAATGCAATATGATTTTTAAAAAAGGAGAGCAAAATTCATAGGTGTAAATCTAACAGAACATGTATAGGACTTTTACTTTGAAAACTACAAGTCACTGACCAAAGAAATTAGAGTACACCAAAATAAATGGAAGATACGCCATGTTCATGGGTTGGAAGAATGCCCATGGTCAAGGAAGCTGTTTCCCCTAAGCTGATTTACAGAACTGACATAATCCCTATTAAAGTCACTGCCAGGTTTTGATAGACATAGATAACATTATTGGAAAGTTTATACAGGAAGGAGGTGGAGAACTAAAAATGTCTTTTTAAAAAAGATGCGTAAAGTAAGACAAGTCACCTATATGACCTCAAGACTTTGTGTAGCTGCAAAGGTAGAGGTGGCATGTGGAGGGACAGACACAGGTCAGTGAAACAGGCAGCCTCACATAAGTATGGCAAATTAATATTTTAAAGCAGACGTTGCGTTTAGAGAAATTTTACAAGCAAGGGGCAAAAGAGAGCCCTTGCTTACACAGAGCAAGCCTCTCTTGCTTGCAGTCTCGCCCCACGGTGGTATGTTTATTGTTCTGAGGACTCTTGAGCCAAACAGTGCAAAAAATGAATCTTGGAGCAATTTAAGACGATGCTTAAGGCATCGAAAGGCGATGAAATTTACCTGTGCGAGAAACATATCTGGTGCAGAATTAGAATTCTATAAATTCATGTGGTTTTAAAAGTGGACTGGAGGGCCAGCCAGATAGCTCAGTGGATTAAAGTGTCTGCAAGCAGGGGCAGAGGTGGTGGTCTGATTCCTGGGCCTGCTGTCCTGGCCCACCCCTGGTGTGCTGAGAGGCGACTGAGACTGGGTGTGGTGGCGCATGCCTGTAATCCCAGCTCTTCGGAGGCTGTAAACAGGTGGATCACTATGAGTCCAATCTAGTAGTGAGGCCCTGAACACCCTGTAGACCCTTCCCTAATATATATATATATATATATATATATTTGTATGTATTTATTGTATCCTGCATGGGGCTTTGCAGTATGCATACATTGTGGAGTCGCTAACACGCTACTTGATAGGCGTTGCCTGATATGCCGATCAGTGGTACACTTAGAAACACTACTCTTTCGCAGTTTTCAAGACACAATTCTTGTTCTTAACTAGGATTTCCTTGCGGTAGTTGATTGATCTCTTGAACTGTAGAGATCTCCTTCTGTAGAACTGAAATTTTGGGTCCCCTGACCACTCGCATATCAGCCCTGGTAACTGCTCCATGCTCTATTTTAATGAGGTCACCACTATTAAATTTTTTGATACAGGGTCTCACTACACAGTTCAGACTCACGATCCTCCTGTCTCAGCCTCCCCAGTGCTGAGATTACAGGTGAGCATCACCACGCCCTGTTTTGGGGCCAGCATGGCGTGCCTGGGGTTCCGGAGCCAGCACAGCATGCCGTACTGGAAATGGAACGTGGGTCCTTGACTTTCCAGGCAGGTGTTATGCTGTGGAGCTATCCCCCCGCTTGGTGTCACCAGTTTGAGCTTGCACTTGTATGAGTTCTTGTGGTATTCATCTTTCTGAGCCTGACTTGTTTCACCTAGCATAATGTCCTTCGGGTGTGGCTAAGTTGTCACAGGTGGAATGATTTGCTTCTTGCTTAAAGGTTCAACATCACCTTATTGCAGGGAAGTATCTCTTTCTTTATTCATCTGCCCATGGGTGGGCATGTTTTAGGGTCTGGGTGTGAGGGTCCCCAAAGACTGGCAAAACCAGTCTTTCCTGCTTTAAGTTGTTTGCCTCAAGTATTTGGGCCCAGCAATGGGAAGCTAGGTAACACCATGTGGCTTGTGTACACAGGTTTGTATGTTCACGTGTGTCTGGGTATCTAGGCTTGCCGTGCTGCTGTGCAGGTACACCTGTGTTTCTGTGTCCATTCCTATGTTGTCTCTTTTTCTGGTGTGTTCATTGTGCATGTGTGTATGCTGCCTGTGTGTGTGTGTGCATGCATGTGTGTGCATGTGTGTGTGTGCATGAGTGCATGTGCGTGTGTTCGTGTGCGTGTGTGTGTAGGGAGCTGGATGTGGAGGTCTGGGACTGAGGCCCTCCATGAGCTCCAGGCTTCCCACCGCTTGTCGTTTGGTCTCAACCAGCTCGTGCTCCTTGTAACCCAGCTCCCCTGTGTCCCGGCCTGGGGCGACTTTCTTCCTCTTCCTGCTGGCTGCGCACAGCATGGAACTCCCTCTCTGGTGACTGTGTCAGGGGCACATGATAGGTGCCAGGCAGTGCTTCCTCGATGGAGTTTTCATTCCTCAAAAATCCAGTCAAGGGAGCAAGAAGACAAGCTTTCTGAGTCAAGCTGTGTATTTGCACTCCTGCCCTGCGCTTGCCACAGTCTTACCATTGTGTCCTCCATGTGTGGCCACCCAGGTAACTGGACAGAGCTTAGGAATGGAGGACGGAGGTGACGTTCGACATAACTTGAGCCAGAAGAGTGCAGGGAAGCTTGGATTCTGGTGAGGATTGGGCTATATCCGGTTGGCATCTAGAAAAGCATGTTGCTGAAATACACACAGTCTTAGCAGCTTGGCAGCAAGAGGGCAGGGGTCTGGGCGTGACCATGTCTTGACCAGCAGTGGCTCCATTCGCCTTCAGCCTGTATTTTTTTAAAAATGTATTTGGTTGTTACAGAGTCTCACCACATTGCTCAGACTCATAGTAATCCTCCTGTTTTCAGCCTCCTCAGCCCTGGGATCACAGGCGTGCACCACTATGCCTGGGCTCTGCGGCCAGCTCAGTGTGCCCTGGGGGCGGGGTTGGCGCAGCATGTGGTGCCGGGGATCCGTGGTCCCTGAGTTTGCCTAAGCAGGCACTTCAGTCTGCTGAGCTGTCTTGCCAACCACCCCCTCAGCCTGTATTAATGAAGCCGTAGGGATGACAGCGTGTTCCGTGCACGTAGCTGGCTCTCACTCTTGCTTCCGGGTGGCTACATACATTTTAGGTTCCAGTGTTCTTTGCTTTTTTGGGACATGCAGTTTTCTCTCTGTGAATGGTATCAAGCCCCAGTAACCCCTCACATCATTGCTGTAGATGAAACAGAGGGCCAGAGTGTCACTGTGGGAAGTTCAGTGTCACCAGCCTGACCACTGAGGCAGCAGCAGCCTCGGTTATCAAACGGCTCTGGCACCTATTTCTATTCTTAATAGCTGCTCAAAGGAAATACACAGAATTTGTGCACCATGGGGTTCCCCAAACATCCCACGTGCAGGCCAGCTAGGACTGCCATCCTGTGGCCTTAACCAGACCTGACAGGTAGCCCAGCAGTTTGCATTTGTGGGTACATTGCTTGGCACATTTCTTCCTTGTAAGCATTTGCTCCTAGCTCCGTGAGGAAGCCATAAGACAGAAGCTCTTGGTGGCATTTCCAGGGGTTTCTTTGAGTCAAGACCACAGATAAAAGTCTCCCACTTGTCTGGAAGGGTCTTTCAGTTTGAATGCTGGGAGGAAGGTGTGGACCATGGAGAAGACTGCACCAGAGACGGGCCTGCAGCGCTCATCCCGAAAGCTTCGGAGGCGCCCATGTCTTCCATCAGCGGCTTTCTATTTTCACATCTGAGGATTATAATCCCCTTATGCTTGTGGCTGACTTGACTTTCCAAAGGTCTCAAGGTAGCTTTACAAAAGGCTGTTGAACAAGCCTGATGTTTGGTGTAGTGGATCCTGAGAACCTGCTCTTCTACGAAAGGAGCAGAATAATGGCAGAACATTAGAAACCCACTATTGCAGACCTCTGGAAATGACCCAAAAGCACTCATTCATGGGCAAAACAAAACAACAGAAAAACCCCAAAGCCATAAAAAGCTCTGTAAAAATACCAGGGTGTGCGATGGTTCAGGGTGAGACTGTTCTGTTCACCAGCTCAGAGGCCTGAAACACACACACACACACACACACACACACACACACACACACGTGCGGATAAAGTTCCATCCTTAGACTGGAGTCAATTATTTGGACCAGAAGCAACCTGAAAAGGTGTCTATTCTCATGGTGTATTTTTTGCTTTGTTTGACTCAGGGTGTAGCTTTGGGTGGGTGGGGTACCATCCTATCCCACTGCTGACCATGGAAATAGCTCAGCGGCATAAGTACCTTCCTGGCAAGTGCAAGGTCCTGAGTTCAATCCCCAGTACAAAGAACCAAACCAAAACAAAAAAATCTGTCAACCACAGCTGTGACTATATGAGGTAGCAATTTCAGCTGACGTGAAAGAAGCCTGCCAAGACTCCCTGGGGCTCTGGAGAGCAGGTGATCCACAGGGTACTTGGCACAGTACTGTTGCATTGCTGGGTAAGTGCAGGGTTGTGGATGTGGCTGGTAAGGGCGTGGGACTTGAGGAGACCTTTTGGAGGCTCCCGAGGAGGAGCCAGATGCTGGAGCTGACTGGTAACCGTGTTCAAGTTCCTAGACATGACTTTTCAAGCCATTACCTCAGTGGAGGGGCTCAAGATGCTGAAGAACATCTTCTGTCTGATAACTGACTGACCACTGGATGGTACTGGTCAAGCCTGACTCCTAGGAAGCCAAGCTTAAAAATAAAGCCAAGAATTCAAAGGAAAATCTTAGCAAAGGACTCAATACCACATGACAAAGTCCACCTTGCTTATGGGTGAAAAAACAGAAATTTGACACTAGCAAACCAAATCTGGCAACATCTGAGAATGGTTATGATCAAGTAAGATTTGCCCCTGAAATACAAAATTGCTTTAATGTCTGAAAACCAACTAACATTATTAGAAAAAGGGGGAAGCTGCACGATCGTCTCAATAGATGCAGAAAAATCACTTAGGTCATCTGTACCTACTCATGATGCAATCTGGCCACAAACTTGAACAAAAAGGGAACCTCCTCTACATGGTAGAAGGCATCTATAAAATACCTGACACTGTAGAAAATGGTAAACAGTGGAAGATCTTGCCCCTACGACCCAGAACCAGGCAGCCGCGGCCTCTTGCCACTTCTCTTTAAGATTTGCTGGCGGCTCAGGAGTACAGTCGGGGGAGATGATCAATAAGGGCATCCAGATCGGAAAGCAAGAGGGAAAGCTGACTTCAGTTACGGAATCTGTGACCCTCATGTAGAAAATCCTAAAGAGAGCACACATTAGAACAAATGCACAAGTATAAGGTTATAGGATATAAGATAGAGGGACTGAACTACAAAAACCAGGTGCATTTCCATGGAGAGAGAAGGCTCGGAAAAGGAAATTAAGAATAAAATACATCAATAACGTTAAAAGAACAAAATACTCAGGGATAACTTTAGCCAAAGAAGTACAAGAATGATATTATATACTTCCATTACCATGTGGCAAAATTAACACAATCGTATCATAGATTTATACGCAAAACTAATAATACAGAAGTTAGAGACGAAAACTTAGAATCTTTCAGATCTTGGGTTAGGTGAGATATTTTTTAGACATGATACCAAATTTATAGTCCATACTGCGCATTTAATTTGGCTTCAGAAAGCATTGAAAACATTTGTGTTGCAAAAGAAATGAGGAAGAAAAAGAAAAGATAAGAGATTCGGAAAAACTATTTGAATAACAAATAACATAGGTTGTTCAAAAGAAATGGAAAATTAAGAGGTTTAGTAGAAGAACAATGCTAATTGATAGCTTAATGGCTTGTGAAAGAGTCCAATTTGAAATCAGAGGTTTGCATTCCCCTCTCTGCTTATCTATTTCTTACCTTTTTTTTTTTTTTTTTTGGCCTATGGCTGCAATTTTCTGAGCCTGGGGAGTCATAGTGTCCGCAGGAAATAGTGGTTAGAGGTAAACTCTCAAGAAATGACAAGTTTTTGCCATAATAATACAGGACATGACCTTATTAACTTAAGATAAAACACACCAAGCACCTCGGGGTTCTTTGTACATATTAAATATTGAAAATGCTATTCATTATTAATCATTAATTTATTATATGGAATCTGAAAGGAGAGGAAAAGTATGATCAGGTCCCCTTTTAACTCCGTGATCATTATAAAGAGAAAAATAGAATCCCCAAGTTCAAGGTCATAGAACATTTTTAACAAGCTAAGTGGTGATACAGTAGGAAAAACTGGAAATGCTGCAGAGTGAAGATTTATTTTAGCGCTGTATTTTATTTTAGTCCAAATGTGTACCTCAGTCTTGCTAGGGGCTACGGTAGGTGGGTAACAGTCCTCACAGGAAGTCTGTCGTGTTTTATTCATTATGAGCATTCATCAGGTCCTGCTGAATTCTTCCTTTGTGCTCCCCAAACCAAACTACTTACATTATTTCCGTGACTCATAAGTTCCCAGGCCTCTGGATCGCCCCGGGTTGGTTCCACTGGGACAGTTCCGTTTGCCGGGGCCTGTGGGTGAACTGGCCCATGGGCACTGAAGGCCCTTGCATTAGGCACTGGTCCCCAGAGCAGGCCACCGTCAGGTTCCTTCACGTTTGTCTTCCTGGGGTCCCTGTCCTGACCACTGACTGGCTCTCTAAGCAGCTGTATGGGGCAGCATCTGCGCCCTTAGCTAAATCTGGCCTGTTCTGCTCCGGCCCCTCACGGTGACCCCACCCGTTTTGAGCCCCTCCCACCCAGGAGCCCCCGGTTTCTGGACGCATCAACAGGAACTGAGTGCTGTGGAGCACGGCCAGCTTTGTTGAAGGTCTGCTGATCTATTTGCTTCTTTAACTTGATGACTGAATACTAGGAACACGCAGGGATGGAGTTCATTTTGGCTGGCACATGCGCTGTGATTATTTTCAACCCCTCTTACCCCTGTCCCCTCTCCCCCAGCCCTTTCCTCGTGTCTAATCATCTACCTTCTATTTTCCTGTTACCTCCCATTTTTTAAAAAAGATTCCTCACTAGCTCATTTTGCTTACTGTGGTGGTCTCAGGCCTGTACATTTTCCTGCAAAGGCAAGAATCTGGTTTAGCTACTGCGCTCCCTACACACGCCTTTAGAGTAACATCTAGAACACTGGCATCCTTGGGTGGGCCTGCCGTGGCTGGAAGTGAGCACTGTGCTGGGCTTGACCTGAGGCAGGAGATGGACACCAGAGGGGACAGGAGGCCAGTCTCTGCAAAGCTTCTCCGCGTCTGCCTGGAGGTCTCTGAGGACAGAGGCCACCTGGTGCCCACAGAGTCCGGAAGGAGCACTGGGAGAAGCTGGTGACAGAGGAGGCGCCCCCTAGACCTGCAGCTGAAGGTGGAGACCAGGGACCTGAGAAGCGGAGCTGCTGTTCCCTCGCTTGCGCCTAGGGGGCACACGGCGCTCTCTTTAGTTACAGAATTGGGAGAGGCTTGGCCTCCCTGCCAGGGCGACAGGTGATGTTGGGAGATTAGAGGAGGACCCTGGGCAGTGTGTGTGTGTGCGCCCGCGCACGTGCCTGTGAGCTGGGCATACAGATGATTGCACAGGGAGGTGTGCCCAGGCCGTGCGAAGGAGGCTCCCCCGCACCTTCACGTGCATTACGGTCACACGCACGCACGCGCACACCGGCACTTCCCACCCTAAGGCTTCAGTGTTCGCAGCTGGTGCCAGCCTGACAGGTGGGCTGTGATGTGAACGCCCCACCCTTGGGTGCTCAGTGTAGCACCTGCGACCTTGGCCCTTAGCACCCAGTTCCCTATCCCACTGGAGCTGCGGCGCATACTCTGAAGTCTGGCTTATTGTCATCAGGATTTGGAAAGGGCCTGCCACTGGAGTTTGGTTTATTTAAGGCATGAATAACGAGGCAGTCACAGCCCACTACCCCCACCTCACTGCCTCTCTTGGGGATTTTGTTTCGTACCTGTAGGCCATTAGCGTTGTCTCCCACAGGCCGCAGGAGAGGGATCTGATAGGACCCCGCTACAAGTGACGGACACAGCCCAGCCACAACCTTGCGCAGTCCTGGGGGATGCTCTTGCTAGGGCAGAGGAGCACTGAAGGTGGCCGTGGGTGGCAGGGTCGTGCTCTGAGCCACAGGAAAGGCCCGCAGGGCAGTGGCTCTGAGACATGGGTGATTTGTGTTGCTGGAAGTGGGCTTGTCTTGACAGGCTGGCCCCTGTGAAGCTTAAAAATCCAAGCAGAGGGTTTTGATGACCTGTCTGGGAAGCAGAGGTCTCACTTCACAGCAGAAGGTGCCTGGAACGGGGAGAAGCCAGAGAGAAGAGCCAAATGGTTCTGAGTGCTGACCCGAGGCGACATCCGTGTTCCAGCTCCAGGAAAGGGGCTGGCGCACCGGGGAGCCCTGGAGAGGCTGGGTGTGATGTGGAGAGGCTGGCAGGGATGCCCAGGGGGCTTCTGGCTGAGACATCTCAGAGGCAAGAAATGCCAGGGCTGGAGGGGCCTGGGTGGGGAGGAGAGGCCCGGGCTGTGCTGGGTGAGCTGCTCTGGGTGTGCTGATGGAGAAGAACACCCTGCCCCGACCTCCCCTGAGCCTCGCCCGCTGGGGCCAGGTCTGCACCAGAAGCCCATGATGTGGCCGTGGGGAGGACAGCGGGCTTCTGGAAGCAGGACCAGCATTTCTGGGTGGAGGGAAAGCCCCGGCCTTGCCTTTGGACCCCAGGGCCTCGCTGCCTCTCGTCTTCATGTTACCCGCTCTTGCCCCGAGCCGGGAGGCGACCTCCCTGTGGAAGGCTCCTGGCATTTCCATTAGTCCTTTGTCCCAGCAAGCAGCGCCCTCCTCCTGGCCACAGAATCGAATCCCAGCGCCTCCTCCTGGCGGCCTGCCCTGGGTCACTGTGCCTGCCACTGCTCTCAGCAGAAGGGAGACTGTGGGTCATGGAGAACGTTGTCGCGCTGGTGGCCACTGCACCGCTGCTAATGGAGCGGAGCCGAGAGGGTGGCGAGGCCGCGGGGTGACCCTGACCTCCGTGTCCCCGGCTGGAGCCCTGGCTTCTTCTGCCCGCGCAGTGCGGAGACTGTGGGAAACAGGCCGGGAGCAGGGCCCGTGGCAGGAACGGTGCAGGGCGGGGTCCCCCCAAGCACCCTCAGACCGCGCCCTCGGGCGCCTCATTCCCCAAGACCACGTGCTGAGCACCCCGTGCGGCCCATCCTGAGACCCAGGCACAGCGGCCCAGACGTCCCGCGTGTCCCGGCCTCTGCTGCCCCCTGCTGGGTGCGCGCTCCACTGCGGCCCAGCTCGCCGGTCCAGGAGCCCCGGTCTTCTGAACTCAGGTGTCTACTCAGAGACACAGGGCTAGGCCGGCGGAGCCTCTCTAGAGCTGGCTGGTTTGTCTCCTACGTCTCAGCCCCATTCCTGAGCACCTGTGGCTCCCCAGCTCCCTTACCCTTGGTGGAGGCAGAGTTAATGTAGTGAGGTTAGGATTAGATTAGGGTTTAGGGTAGGGTAGTTTAGTGTTGGGTTAGGGTTAGATTGGGTTAAGGTTCAGTTAGGGTTAGGTCAGGGTTAGTTTAGGGTTAGGGTTCTGCCTCCTGGCCTAGATCACAGAAGAGGCTATCCCTAGAAGCTTTTAAAGGCATTTCTTTATTTCAGTTTTATTTTATTTTGTTTCATTTGAGACAAGGTCTCTGTATCGCTGTGCAGCTGAAGTTGGCCTGCACTCTGTGTGTAGCCCAGGCTGGCCTGGAACTGGAAGTGATGTCCTGCTTCAGCCTCCTAAGTGCCGGGCTTACAGATATTTGCCGCTACACCTGTTCTCATTGCCTTTCTTTCTTTTTTTCTTTCTTTTTTTTTTTTTCTCGATATTTGAAATTTTATTGGTTGTGTTGAGGATCATTACATTTGATTTACTTTGTATCCAATTCTTAACACACATACCAAAAAAAACCATGGATTGTTTTCCAGTTATTCCAGTGACTTTCCAGCTTCAAATTTAGAGGCAAATTTTCCGTAGAGGATTAAGTACCAGCATCTCCAAATGCTGACCGTGTTACTTAAGTCCCACCGATTCACAATTTTGTATCACATACAGTACATATTCAAATTTTTGATCTTTCACAGCACATTAACAAAATGAGGCAAACCAGACTACCACTACCAAAGATGTTACAAAGAGCACACGATTCTGACAGGGCAACAATTAGGATGTAGTTGTCTTTAGGAAATAATTCTACTAAAAACATGGAATAGAAGTCATTTAAGGTATCCAAGACATATTAAATGCAGGACTGTAATTCCAAATTACCATTTAGTATGCTTTTATTGCAGGTTATAAAACTAACCCCCGCCTATGGAATGTTAAGCTGACACCCAAGACAGTCAAAGCCTGCCAAATTCAATATTGCATGATTTCTGGTTGTACCAAAAAGTAAAAAACCAGAGAATGATTTCACCCTAAGAAAATCATTTACACTTAAAAAATGCGATGAGGTGGGATTTCCTCCTTTTAAAAAATGTTTCTAGAGCTACTAAAAAACTTGCATTTACAAAATAGTTGATAAAAATATTCCTCTGGATTGAACAAGAAAGGAGACAGGGAACACTGATAAGACATGGTGTGTGATTGATCAGACGTGGCTTCTTCCTCTTCTGCTTCATCAGAAGCTGCGCTCTCCTCATTTTTAGTTTCTCCATTTTCGCAGGTAAATCTGCCTTGGTTTCTTGATTAGCCCCTTCAGCCTGTTTTCCCTTGGCTCCCCCTTTCCCTTTTGCTTGCACTTTTTTGTCTGAAGACTTATCCTTTCCTGCTGCCTTTTTTGGCTTGGTTTCCACTTTAGCTGCAACAGGTTTAGCCAAAACCTCGCCGATCTCCTCTTGGGCTTCTCCTTCGCCGCCCCTTCGGCTGAGCTGACCTTCCTCTTGGGCATCTTGGTGGCGCACGGGGCAGCACGGGGTGGGGGCATGCTGAGGCTGCGGGTTGAGGTGCGTGGGGACTCATAGAGCTATGCAGCTCGACCGCTGCCGTTCCTCCGCTGCCAGAGCTGCTGGAACCTCATTGCGTTTCTTTCTTTTTTTTTTTTTTTTGCAGTAGAGCAACTATTTTATTTTATTGAGAAATAAATAGCAGTAAGACATTTCAAAACTGATTAATAGAACAGTTTCAATAATTAATACATTGTACATTGTTATCGTCGTAGTGGTTATCCATAGTACAGGATGCAGACAGAATATCCTGTCCAAACACTATTAGTACAAATCTTTCTTCTCATTGAATTAAGCAAAAGTAGCTGTATATCTATCCTAACCATTCTGCATATACAGATACAAAATGGTGCTTCCTTTGTATCCCCTTTTTTGTTTACTCCTGTCAGAAATGGGTATTCCATTGGCATCTAAATACTATAGGTGCATGAACTCAGCAAAACAATCCAACACAGTCCAGCAGTCCACAATAATAGTAGGTTATGCACAGAAGTTGTTGACTTGTGCCTTTCACAGCTCAGCATATTTAATATGGCTTTACTTTATATACCTCGTTTTTATACTTTTCTGCTGGATGGTTAAGAACAAGAGAAAACATGCTCTCAGGCTTTCACTGAGAGCAAATTGGTCAAGCAATGGCCGTGACTCATCCACATGGCTGACACTGACAAGGGATCTGCAACCTGCGGGTTACAGGATAAATCCTGAGGGAACTTGACTGACCTTATCAGATACAAAAGTTACATTTATTTATTTATTTATTTATTTTTTCTTTTCAAAGTTTTATTGATAAACATATAGCAATGAGACAGTTTCAAATCAAATTGAAAGTACAGTTTCAACAAATAATACACTGCATATATTCTTCTTAGTGGTTAATTGCTGTACAAGATGCAGACTTGTGATCCTACTTACAAACACCATTAGAAAAAATCATTCTATTCATTAAGAGAATGCAACTATATATCTATCCCAACCACTTTGAATACACAGATACAAAATGGACATTCATAGTTATACCCCAATTTTTTTTTTAAGTTCCGTTGTTGAATATTATAGGTGTGTAAACTCAGCAAAATATTCTAAAAGAGTACAGAAGCCCATAATAGCATTGGGTCTTCTGTTTAATTGGCAATGTCAGAAATTATTGACGTGAGTCCCCCACCTCATTGCGTTTCTTATAAAGATGTATCTCTCAAACGAGAAGAAGCTGGAGACAGGTCACCACTAAAGGCTTGTGTCCCCAGCGTGCCAACTGACTTCTCAGGTGGAGTGGAGGAGTTGGGCCATTTGTTGCCGGGACCTGGGTCCTGGCCAGCAGTAAGGCCATGGAAACTGGGGTCACGAGACATGCGGGACTGTGGAGGGCACACAGTGGGCAAAGAGAAGGTAAAGGGAGGGCCAGCAGGCTACCCTAGGCCTTGTGGGGTGAGGGTCCGCTCAGGAGATGCTCAGCACCCCGGGACCCTGTGGGCACAGGCGGCCAGCTGTGGTTGGAGCTGAGGGAGGTGGGGAGGAGGACTCCATAGTGAGCATGTTTCGTGGCTGGGGACCCATGAAAATTGTCACACAGGGGGAGTGAGGGGACAGAGCTGGAACCAGAACTGGGAGACCAGGAGGCTCAGGCATTTCTAGAACTCAGGGAAGTCCTGGGAAGAAGTCAGTCTTGCTGCAGAACCAGGCTGGAGCCTGGGAGGAAACGTCACCATCGCCTCTGCTGTCAGTGGTGAGGCCACCGCAGCTGAGCCCCAAGTCCCCCTTAACATTGGGCAGAGCTGGGGTACCAAGCTGGCTCTCTGCACCCTGCCAGCAGGCTCCTGGCCCTGGTTCCGTCTGTCTTTGTCATTCTCTGTCAGTCTCACCTAGGCAGAAACCCAAGCACACAGGAGGAGGACACAGTTCTGTGCTTTGGGCGAAGCGCCGACCTCTCTTCCTTGGGGTCAAGATCAGGCCTGGGCAGGGATTGAGCCGCAGATGCTGAACAGCAGCATCCAGAGAGGAGCCCAGACAGCCCCGAGAGATGACCTGGCATGGTGACTTCTGTCCTCCATAGGTGGTGGCCTGAGAAGCCCTGGAGCTGCAGGCAGCAGGGGGCGCCCTCGTCACCTATGGCGGACATTCCTCACTTCTAGAATGGAGTTACTCTATTTTAGCAGACATTTACTACCTAACGGCATCTTCTGAACCTTTCATATAATGCTCAGAAGACAATAACAGGCTAGATCTGTTAAAAAAAAATCCAGAGCCACAATGTCCTGCCGAGTAAGAGCCCTTGCCCTTGGAAACGTATCGTGGTTGTAATTTTATGCTCGTGTTCTCATTTTTTATTCATAAGTTTGAAAAAGTGTTCATTAGTCTTTATCACGGTCCCAGCCAGGGCTCAGCCTTCTTCTTGGTGACATATCGTAACCCAACCATGGTCTGATGGAAGTTTGTGTGTATTGCTGTAGGTAAGACTATCATAGACATCTTCATAAAAATAGCCTTTCCCCTTTGGGGAGAGCTGTTGACATAAGCCAAACGTCTAGGAATGGAATTACTCAGATTCCTTTGTAGGGCTATTTAAATGTCACTGGCAGTCATCCTCCTCGATCGGTTTTTGTTAATAATGCACTTTGGTCCTCTCCCTCCCCCACTGCCAGCCTCCCTCACACCTCCTCCTCGGTCCTCCCAGCCCCCCATCCCTTTCCTCCTGCCTAACAAGTGTTTCCTTTCTATTATCTTGTCATCTCTTTTGGATTCCACATATTAGGGAAAATAAATGATAACTATTTTCCTGCACCTGGCTTGTTTTGGCTAACCTCAAGACTTGTAGTCCTATCCATTTTCCTGCACATGACACAATTTTGCTGTCCTTTGTCGTTGCATGAATGCTCCGTGGTGTATATGTGCCGCATTCTTTTTGTCCATTGACCACTGATGCGCTGTCACGCTGTTTTCTTATCTTTAATTCCTTCAGGTATATATCAAGGAGGGGGATAGCTGCATCAAATGGTAGCTTTATTTTTAGCCTTCTGAAGAGCCTCCATATTGATGTCCACAATGGAAGAGCTACTGTGCATCCCTACTAGTCACGTAGCAGTGTTCCCTTTTCCTGGATCCTCTCAGGAAATTGGTTGGGTGAGGTGGGATCTCGGGGAGTCTTTTTTTTTTTAATTTTATTTATTTATTTACTGTGTGTGTGGCCAGCTCAGCCTACCAGGGGGCGGGGCTGGCTGGCATGTGGTACTGGGGGATTGAACCGTGGTCCCTGTGCTTTGCTTGGCTTAGTTTGTTCTAAGTAGGTGCTTTAGACCACTGAGCCATCTCACCAGCCCTCAGGGAGTCTTAATTTGATTCCCCTAATGGCTAAAGATATTGAGCAATTTTCTTTTCTTTTTTTTTTTTTTGGTGGAACCGGGGATTGAACTCAGGTCCTTGTGCTTGCCAGGGAAGCGCTTATTCCACTGAGCCATCTCCCCAGCCCCTTGAGCAATTTTCATATACTGATTGGCCATTTGTCGTTGTTGAAGAAGCTGTTCCTCTTCTTCTTGTTGGTTTCTGATTTCTTGAGGCAGGGCTTCACTATGTAGCCCAGACTGGTCTTGTCACAGTGATTCTCCGGTGGTGGCCTCCCAAGTGCTGGGGTGGTAGGCGTGTGCCACCACACCTGGCCTTTTTTGTGCTTCTTCTGAGGAGTGTCTGATTGTCCATTTACTTATTAGATTATTTGGTATGTGTGTGTGTGTGTGTGTGTGTGTGTGTGTGTGTGTGTGCCTGTTGTTTGAGTTCTTTCTACAGTCAAGACATGAGTCCTTTGTTGGACGAGTAACTGGAAAAGATTTTCTCCCATGCAGTAGGTTGTTGCTTCGTTCTGCTGATTGCTTCCCTTGCTGTTCTGAGTGAAACTTTCTAATTGTCCCTTTCGTTGACTCTTGCTCTTATTTCCTCTGCTACCAGAGTGCTGTTCAGGACATCGTTGCCTGTGCCTGGAGTGTCATGTGTTCTCCTGTGTTTTCTTCTAGCAGTTACAGAGTTCCTGGTCTTATATGTAGATCTTTGATTGATCTTGAATTAGTCTTTATACAGAGCTAGAGATAAAGATCTAGTTTCAGTTTTGTGCAAGTGGATCTCCAGTGTCCCCAGCCCCATTTGTGAAGAGGTTGTCTTCTCTCCGGTGTATGTTTTTGGCTCCCTTGTCCAGAACCAGATGGCCGTAGCTGTGTGGGTTTGTTTCAGCTTTCTCTATTTATCCTCTTGGTCTACTTGTCTATTTTATGCCAGTATCATGCTGTTTTCCTTTCTATGGCTTTGTAGGAAGATTTGAATTTGGGTGTTGTGATGTCCGCAAACTTGCTGGGTTTTTTTGTTTTGTTTTTAATTTATATTTTATTTATTTTTTTCACAACTTGGCTGCTTAGTATTACTTTGGCTCTTCTGGCTACTCTGGGTCTTGTGTGTTTCCATGTAAATTTTAGGATTTTTTTTTTTTTTTTTTTTTTTTTTTTTTTTTGGTGGAACCAGGGATTGAACTCAGATCCTTGCATTTGCCAGTCAAGCGCTTATCCTACTGAGCCATCTCCCAGGACCCCCTTTTTTTTTTAGTTCTGTGAAGAATGTCATTGGAATTTTGTTGGGGGATTGCATTGAATCTGTAGATTGCTTTTGGTAATATTGCCATTTGGACGGAATTAACTTTGCCAATCCATGTGGCATTTATTTGTTGTGCTTAGCAGTGAGTAACCCAGTGAGCTAGCAGAAGGGCCTGGCATAGAGTGGGGTGACAAAAACGAAAGACAGCCAGTGACCTAGGACTTTGGACAAAGAATGACCTTCCTCAGGTCGCGCAGAATGCAGCCCACCCCCTACTAACGTGAGATGCAGCCCCTCCCTGCGAAGTTCCTGAAATCCCAGGAACCAGTTTCTTTTGAGATCTCAGTTTCTATTAAACCCCCACTTATTGAGGAACTGGGTTAA